GCTGCGCCGCCGCCCCAGATTTATCGACCTCTGATCTGGCCGGATCTGGCCGAGCAGCAGCAGCAGCAGCGTGTGGCGCGCCGCCCGGCCCGGCGCCCTTGGGATGCAGCGCAGACCGCCTCGCCCGCCCGGCCCGCCTCCGGCGCCTGATCGGCCCACGCAGCCGCCGCCGCCGCCGTCAGTATGAGAAATTTAGCGCCGCGCAAAATGGGAAAGAATGGGCGCGCCTGCTCATGAACCGCGACTTTACATTATTTTTTCTTTATTTCTTTAGCGCCTCTTCGCCAGCGCCCTTAAGTCGCCATCTGCAGACGTCTACGATGCCTTGCGTTCCGCGGAAGAGGCACTCCCCCCCCCCCTCCGCCTTCCTCGCGCACACTGGAAGCGTGCGTGAATGACGCAAACATGTGAGTGTGGATTCCAATATTGTTTGAATGTCGGTGTGATATTCTAATTCGCACACATGTACAAGGAAATGTGCGAATTTCCTTTTGGATTTCGCGCACACCTGCGTAAGAATAGAAATAGAAACGCCTAAAATTTTCTACATTTCACTTGGGTTATTTCATGTGTATAAGTCCGGGATCCGGGGGAGATAGTTTGCGCGGGAAGAAAACAAAAATCACTTTGATCGAGGAGCTGCCGCAATAGCGACAAAGGGGCAGGGCCCGCGGCGCGAGAACAACCCATAAAGGTCACTCTCTCCATGATTGCATAAGCGACCAATGAGAGTCGTCCTCACTCCCCCCTCTTCCTCCGAACCCCACGCAAATCGAGTCCGGAGCGCGTGCGAGGGCGTAACTCTGCTTTTTTCCCCATGATGCTTTGTTTATTTTTAAATTTTGGCGGGCGAGGGGGTGGAGGTGGTGGCCGCGAGCAGGGCGAAGTGTCGCTGCTGCTGGTCCTGCTATTCTGTGTGGTGTGAAAGCATCCCCCACGGGATAAGGGCAGGGGAAAAACAAAAACAAGAGGCCATGCGACGGGAGAGAAAAATAAGCCAGTGCGTCTTTCATATTGCTTATGGCTCAGCTAGAAGATGATCCAAAGACCAACCAGCTCTACGCGAAAACCATAGTGCGACTGATGCACTGCTTTTTTCTTTCCTTTCTAAGGCACATAGCCTACTTGTATAGTATATCTTTATAAAGGTCTATAGACCATACCTTAATAATATATGCATGTGGGTTAATATTTCGGAGGTTACCGTTTCAACAAGTGTGTGATTATATCAGTAATTTTAATCATTTGCAATACCATGCTTGGAATGCATATGCTCACCTGCAGTTTGGACCACTGGATGCGGCCGATGCACCGGGCCGAGTTCCTCCACGCCGTCTTGGCGCCGTACACCAGCTCTGTCTCGGTGAGCTGGTAGGTGCCGCTATTCATGACCTCCTTCTGCACCTGCTCCCAGCGCGCCTGGTGAGCCGGACTATTGTGCCTGCAAACAAAGGCACGAGACACTAAATACAACATTGAATTTTACACACACGCGCACGCAAATTTTTTTTTCAAGACTTTTATATTTACTGAAACGTGCTGTGACGTTAACACGCCGATATTTTTGACAACTATCACACAGTTATGTCTTATTGTTTTTTTCCTGCATTGAACTTTTTTTGCAGAAACTTTAGTGATTGAGCAATGCGCTTTCTTTCCCGCCGCACAGAGTCCTGTTGCGCACTCGCTGCCATCGGGCGGCCGGGGACGGTAATCTGGTCGCGTCACAGAGTAGCAATTTGGCGTCGTTTTAGGCGCCGCCTGCTGTGTTTTTATTGCAACGCCCTGGATTAGTTTGGAGTGGTTCAGGAGGGGGAGGGGGAGTTTCTAGGGGTAGTAGAAGGGAGGGGAGGGAGGGGGCGGCGTACCGACAGCACACGCCCCAGTAGTTGCGCCGTGTTCCCTGCCGCTCGTGGCGCACGGAGAGACCGATCAGCTGATCGAGCCAGAGAAAGAAGGGGGGAGAGAGTGAGAGAGAGAGAGAGAGAGAGAGAGAGAGAGAGAGAGAGAGATAGGGGGGGGGGTAAAGTGCGCCCGACACACATGAAAGAAGGGAGCCGACAGCCGACCGCCGCGTATAATGCTCTATCTACCGCATCGGGGAGAGAAACACACCCAGAAAAGAAAAGTCATTTCTCCAGACAAGAAAAGAAATGCTCTCTTTTTGATGGTAATTTTGCTCAGAAAAAGGACTAGAGGACTGTTTTTGTCTTGATTAAAAACCATGCAGTATATTTGGACCAAGAGTAGGTTCCAGCCACAAAAGATACAAACACGATCTCATTCCAAGAACAGTGCACTTGATCCCAACACCGCCCGTACACTTGGATCAAGGCCGCTATACTCGTGTCACATTTGAGAGCACATGTCGTGTCTTGGAGAAATGAGTTTTCCGGGTAGCAAACGGTGGGGATAAGGAAAAGAGGAGTAAATAAGAATAAAAACGGCATAGCAAAGTAAGGCAAAAGCGGCAGCAGCAGAAACAGAAGAACAAGAAAAAGGAATAAGGGCGGGAGGAGAAAAAAGGGCAGAGAGGCGAAGGGCGCTTGTGCGGATGCGGATACGCAGAGAGCAGCGGACGCCCTTTGAAACCTAAACACCTATACTTATTGCCCTGCCCAGCTTCCGCATCCTCGCCGCCCCCGCATTCTCCCCGGTGGCGCCACGCGCGCGGACAACACGAAGGTATCGAAAGAGATACGAGCAGGCCGACGACAAACGGGTGCCACCTCCTCTCTTTTTAACGTAAATAATGAAAACGAAACGACAGGCGCGAGTATTACGTTTGTCGCAAGAGCGAGCCAGGTGTACAATGTACACTTCACGTGAAATAATAGGTTTGTACCCAGCTTTGAATTTGCAAACTTATGCTCCGTAGCCTTGCGGAAATTGGGATAGTGCGTCGTGCAAATCAATTTTTTTGTAAGTATTTTCCGCAATTCAAAGAAATTATTCGTAATACAAAAGAATTTGAATTCATTACAAATTGAATGCCCGTAGCGATGTTACAGTGTAGCGCCCCTCCTCCCGTGCGAACATTCGTCCCGAAAAATAAAATACAAAAATTCTTAGAGAAGGGAGGAGAGTTGGGGGGGAGGGGGGGGAGCAGGGGCTTTAAAAAGACACACGCATGAAAGCAGCCGTCTGTTCTCTCCTCCCGCCTTAGGGAGGAAAGCCCCTCCGCCCCCGGCCGGTCAGCGGGCAGTATGGCGCAAGATTATAACCCAAGTGGCAAAAGAATAAAATAAAAAGAGCATGACGGAGGCGTGAAAAAAATAACGAGTGGGCACGCAAACACAAAACACGGATTAACCTCGGTTAGGGGCGTTAGGACCGGCCTGATAAGAATAAAGTGCGCGTAAGGCGCGCCTTACGTCCCTCGACGCCCGACCCCCGTTCTGCGCGCGGGTTCCAGGACCGCCTGGAGACTGACATCGCAGACTGGAAAAGTAGAAACTCTTAGTCTTAGATTGGTGTGTTTTTGTAGTTTTGTCAGTGTAGTTGACATAACCATAACTGTCCCTAAACTTTGGAAATTCTCAACTAACTTGAGCGCAAATTTCTTCAAAATCTTAAAGTTAAACCCCGTAGCACAAATTTATTTTGAAAATTTCCATTTCCTTTCCATTCAGTTTTCTGGACCAAGTCTCTTGATCCGGATCTCCCCAACCTTCGCACCGCACGCCGTACCTCCCTTCCTTGGCTACGAGCAGCATCCCCGGGTAATGATGTAATGATACACACCCCACCGGCGGGGCGGGGCGGGGTGGGGCGAGGCGGGGTGGGGCGAGGTGGGGCGGGAGGTGGAACTGCACGGCCGTCGAGGCAATTACGCGGCTAGGTTGGGTCCTCGAGGAGCCCGCGGCTGGAGCTGGAGCAGGAGGACATCGAGAAGCGTCTAGAGCCAGGAGCAATTTGTCTGCAAACAAGTCTATTTCAGGGGGAGATCGAAAGAAAGGGTTTCGGCGATAAGTCTCGACTAGTTCGAGAGAATCCACGGCGATGCAGAGTAGCGTAAATGTTTTTAAAATAATGTTGAAAGGATCGTAAAAAAAATATTTTTGAAGGTCTGGCAGAGTTTCGGGAACGCAAGTGAGCAAGGCAACCAAACGTTCCGATACACAGCTAATTTACTGTTTATATTTACAATGCCCGACAAATATCATACCTGCAATATCGTACCAGCAATATCCCAGTATAATCATCAAAACATTTTTTTAAATCTCTCTGGACGGAGCAGTTGATGAGGCTGGGGAAGAGGAAGAGGAGAGGTACAGCGAGAGGGAAGAGTGCGGGGGGATGGGAAAGAGAGAGAGAGAGAGAGAGTCCCTGGCCGGAAATCACGGCCGGATGTTAACATCCCCCGCGGGGCCGACGTCACGGCCGACTGGACCCGCATAATTAGACGCCACCCGGATAAACGCCTAAATACGCGAATTTATAGCCCACCTTTTTTTGATCCCACTCCCACTCTGTCCCTGTGGATCTCTCTCTCTCTCTCTCTCTCTCTCTCTCTCTCTCTCTCTCTCTCTGTCGCTCTCCCCATCCTTTCCCAGATAAACTCGCGGGGGAGGGAGGATCGGGATTCCCCTCGGCGCAGCCGGGGCGCCACCGTAGCCTCCCCCGGGGCGTGAGGTGGCAGCTGGCTCCGGGAGGGGGAGGGAGAGGAGGAGGATGTAGGCGGACAGCAGCAGTCTATCTGGCGGCCGGGTAACTCAACTAGCGGAATTGTAAATTGCGCGGTGTGGCTCGCGCCCCGGCGCCGCCGGCCCCCTCTCATAGACCGGCCGTGGCGGGGCGTGGCATGGCGGGGCGTGGCGGAGCGCCGCTCGGGCCGGCAGGGCTTTACTGCCTCGTCAAAGCCACCGCCGCCGCGCCCGCCAGCACCGCCCCATCAGTCTTTACGTCTCAATCCGTCCCGCGGACACATCTTATTTATCCCTTGGCCAACAATAATTCTGTGCCAGGGGTGCGCTGGCCGGGCCTGCCACTGCCACCGCACCGCCGCGCCGCACGCCACCCACACCTACTGCGGGGGCGGGGTGGGGTGGGGCGGGGCGAGGGAGGGCACGTCAGTTTTATCGGCTCATTTATAAGCCTCCCTGGCGCTCCGGGGCTCTCCTCCTCGCCACGGGAAGGATAGGGCTCACCTAGCAGTAAGCCCTGCTGCCCCTCCTGCTGCAGTACCGTGGGAGCCCCCATGTACATGTGCGCCTGTGTGTTGTGAGAATGCATCATATAGAGGCTGCTCGATGACGTGGTACAAGGTAATACAGCCCTCCTCGCAAGATTTTTTTGAAGAAAAAAAAAACCTAAACAGAGGACCAAAATGAAAAAGAAGAAAGACACACGTACAGCACACACAGCGCAAGACGACACACTGAACTACCTTGTAGTAAATCCTCCACTAATGAAGTCTGAAGTCACCCCTCCCCGCGGCCTCTCTCTCTCTCTCTCTCTCTCTCTCTCTCTCTCTCTCTCTCTCTCTCTCGGCGGTAGCAGCGGCGGTAGAGGAGGAGGAAATGGCGAGATGTCGGGGAACCTCATCAGTCCATGTCGCGAACGCGCGCGAGAGGGAGACAGGCAGAGGGAGAGAGAGGGGAGAGAGAGAGAGAGAGAGAGAGAGAGAGAGAGAGAGAGAGAGAGAGAGAGAAAGAGAAGACACTAGGTTACACAAGTACACGGCGGTAAGAGGGGCTGATGGGCGCAGCGCCCCTGCGAGGTAGGCACTAGTCGGGGCCGGCGGGCGGGCGCGCGGTGCGGGTCTGCCTAGGCCTCGCTCTGCAGGGGCCCGGCGCCGCACCACCTGGGGCGTGCAGTGCAGCAGAGAGCCCGGCTGAACCCAACGGCCTGCACTAATCAACGACCTTTCCCCCTGTTTTTTTTATTCCGTTTGTTTTTCACTAATCCAGCCGCCCCATCCGAAGAAAAAAGAACAACAACGGCAACGACAAATAAAGGGGAGAGGAAAGGCAAACCTCTGTTATTTGCAATGATGTGCGGGAGAGCCACTCGTGGCTTCTTGCCTGTGCGCCTGTTTCTGCGCGGCCGCCGCCCCACACCCTTGTGCCACGCACGCGGTGTACCTCGCGCTCCCAAGAGGCGCCCGGCGTTGTCGGCCATACCAGCCGAACATCAGTGTATTTCCCGCCGGTGAAACCGAAGAGCGGCAAAGAGCAGCAGCAGCACAGCAACGATAAGCGAGAGCAGACCGGTGAAGGAGCGAGCAAGCGAGAGAGATGGAGAGAGAGAGAGAGAGAGAGAGAGAGAGAGAGAGAGGTGCGGATAAATTGATGACTATTGCTCCCACGTGAGCTTGCGGGGGAGCAGCGACCGGTAATCAACCAACAGCCAGAGCCAGTCTCAGCTAGAGTGTGTCCGTGCGCGGATGCCGAGTCGTGTGTGCGCTAGCATGTAGGTGTTCGCGAAACAGAAAGAGAGAGCGAGGACAAAAAAAAGGACAAAAACGTCTACGTCTCAATTTCACCACCATAAACGCGGGAAGCACGCGGGGGCGGCGCGATTTGCACTCTTTCCTTCTTTTTATCCATCCAAACCATTCGTGTATTTTTTTTTCTATTTTCCTTTTTTAACAACAGCAGCAGGTGAGTTGTTTGTATTGGCGATGCATGGCTATGAATGAATGAATAATTCTGGCCGCCCCATTAATCCCGGGCCACCCCGCGTGTCAAACCTCGCGCCTCTCTCTCTCTCTCTCTCTCTCTCTCCCCCCCCCCCTCTCCCTTTTGCACTCTCTCTCCCTGTCGCTCTCTCCTCCCCCTCTCTCTCACTGATCGCCATGGAGCGCACGTTTTGGTGGGACAGGGGTCGTCACGATCACCTCCCTCCTCCCCTCCCCTGACCCCCCCCCCCAATGTTTTACTCCGTCACCCTTCCCTTGACGTGCGCGTGTGTCGTTGGGTCCCATTACCCTCGCTACGTATAAAACAGGTGTGCTTCTGCCCGCCCGCCCGCCATGTGGCGTGGCGTGGTGTGGTGGGGCGAGGCGTGCGGCGGGACAGCGGCCAGCCGGTGGTGCTCCCATTCGTCAAGCTGTCGCCACGACGGCCTTCCCCAGTCCGTCGCACATACTCTTCTTCTCGGAACCGCTGCAGGTGATGGCGGTCGGCGAGACGGTGTCCGCAGCTCTATCCGCCCCGATATCCTATTCAGCCCCCACGACGACGAGCCACCAGTCACCAACACGGGGGACGGTCGATAAAAACAAATCCCATACCCATAGAATTCGCAGCACTGTGAGTGTAGAGGGTGATCCGCCCCGTCTTTATTTGGGGCGAGGTAAGGGGGGTTAAATTGTAACGAATTTAGGCGTTTGGGTGGGCTTGCCTACCGTCGTTTGCGATTGGGTCTGAGATTCTAGTTAAGTTCAACCAGAAAAAAAGGACGGCGCGGATGTATGCATAGTAAGTTATGGGGGTCGTATGAGTTTCGCGAATGCCGGCCGTAAGAAAATTTTCCAGAACCCTGTTATTTTGTTTTCACCATTGTCAATTTTCTATAATAGACCTGCTTTCAATATTTGACACAAAGTCTACACAAATCATTGCTCGGTCCATTTGTCGGTCCATTTGTCGGTCCATTTGTCGGTCCAAATTTCTTACGCGGGGCGGAGCTGGTGACCCGAGACGACCGCGAGCCGCGAGCGGCAGGTGGAGCGGGCAGGACCTTCTCGAGTCGACTGTACTACTTCAAGGGCCCGAGCCCGAAGGGGGCAGCGGCGGGGCGGCGCTTCCCAAGGTCTGCGCATCGCACCCCGCAATGAGCAGAGTGCTCGCCTGTGCACGGCCTCTGTGACTACGAGAGGGCGCAGAGAGGGAGAGAGAGAGAGAGAGAGAAAGAGAGGGGGGGGGGGCAGCAGGAGCAGAGGGGCGCCCAGCCCCCGCCCAGTAAAGCCAACTCACCTGTCCAGGCGCATCTGCGGCTGCGGTGGGCTCAACGACAATTGAATTAATTCAAGAACACGATGACGCTCTGAACGCCGCCGCTCGTTTGCGCGAGCTCTTTCTGTGGATTCTTTTATTTTCTTCCCACTCATTCATTCTACTCCTCTCTTTTCATTCGCCCACGACGAGCCGCCGCGCTACCGACGTCCAGCTCCCGCGCCATTCTCAGAGAGACAGAGAGAGAGAGAGAGAGAGGCCGCGGGGAGGGGTGACTTCAGACTTCAAGAGGGGGCGTGAGGTACTTTTTCCGTGCTAAAGGAAAATCAAATAATACCACAGCCGCAGAGGGGGGGGGGGGGGGGGGGGAGGGGCAAGGGAGAGACAGAGAGAGATGCGTGGGAGGCAAGGGTGCTGGAGAGTGAAGTAGTAGGCCTTTGAGGATCGCATTGCTCCTCCACATGGGGCAACTGCTCTGATATTGTATGCCCCGCATACTTGGCCGGCGCGTTGCGCTGCTGCGCTCTTTTACAAACAAATTCGTTTCAGTATGAGCGGTCAGCGGCTGAGTTAAACAGCAGTCAGCGGCGGCCAGCAGCGGTCAGGCCGCTCGGCGTTGCCCCGTCGTGTGTTCGCCCGTCTGTCGCGTTAGCGCTCTTGCTCTGCTCACTCTGCTCGCTTTGCTGCCACTTGAGAAAAGGGGGGTGAAATATTCTTTTTTTTTTCTCCTCGCTCTTACGTCTGACATGTGAGAGGAACGTCAGTCGACAGCGAAAAGCCTGCTTAGGCCATTACAAAAATGGCAACGGCAAAAAGTACTAAAATGTTGGAAAATAATAATAAATAATTAACGACGCAGCATGGGTTTTCAGAATTTCGGGGGATCCGTTTCCACTACCCATAGCATGGAAAGTTACGATACGGAGGTCCCGGGGAAAAGGGAGAAAAAAAAGAGAAAAGAAAAGTGGGCTTACACAACCAACGGCGTATTTCTTCCTCCGCCACCTTGTGGTCGGGCAGGAAGGCCTTTTCATGCTACCTGTCATGCCTGATGTGTGAGCGACCCCCGAGAAAAAAAAAAAGCGCGAACCACACGCTGTCCCCACCCCCTCCCGGCCATGACAGCCGCACATCCGTCATCCATCACTCGATCGAGCCAATACGTACACATTTCCGTCCTACACCGCGTCGCCGTATGTGTAGGCGTGCAACCGTGGTGGTGGTGCTGGTGTTGGTATGGCGAAAGGAAAAACTCCGTTCAGTATTTTTTTTTCAGGGATTTTCCCGCGAATTTTCAAAATTACAAAATTTTTTGTCCAGTGTAGTAATAGTATTGGACTAGGAGCGTCCAAAGGGGCGGCGGCGGCGTCGGCGGCGGCGTTTCGGTTCCGGACGAGAGGCGGGCGCAGGAG